TTCAACATTAGACATCTAGCTTAAGTAACATGCCTCAGTTTTTGTTTCAGTTGCATTGCAACAATATGAGTTAATGTTAAACCAGATGTATGATTAGTTGTCCAAAACCTGAAGTGGGGTTTTGATACAAGCAGATATCAGGCTTGTGAGTGAAGGAGTGGGGAGCAAGATTTGGTTCTGGCTGCAATTTTTAAAGCAATCCAAGAAAGGAGAAACACAATAACTTTTATCTAAAGACAAAATAAAATGTGAAAGCCCTCCTGAAATGAATGAAGGGGTTAAAACTAGAATTAGCTGGCTCTGCCTGTCATTGGCTCTGGCTCCACCTCCCGGTGGTCTCCCCATCTTTCGCCCTACTGGGCACCACCCACCACTGGACAATTGCCTTTCCCATCACAGTCATGTAAAGAGACAGAAGAGCCTTATAGGATCCAGTCTAAAGGGGAAAGAATTTTGGGCCAGAAAGCCTCAGAATGATATCACTGAGAAAAATATGAACAGCAGGTTCCCTTGTTTTATTGAAGCTGCATTTGGAGACAGTCAGGTTGTGTATCCACAGCAGTGATCAGAGGAGAAATGACTGCTGGGAAGAGCATAGAGAGAAGAAATGCCATGGTACACCTGCATCGGCACAACCGGATGCCTTCATCTACCCCAGATGCAACAAAACATGTCTCTCCTGCATCAGTCTCTACAGCCACAGCAGGCACTGCAACTCTCCAACAGTTTGACTTCACACCCAAAGGTTCACTCCTCCATTGTCTCCTTAGACAGAGAGATGCCAAGCACTAATGGTGAGCCCAAGAGAACGGCAGCTTCATATACCGTAGATGCAGGCAGTTCTTCAAATCACTTGGTCCCAAATTAGTCCTTATTTCATCTTCCTTATTTACATTTTTAAAAAAGTTGATCAAAGATACTATTGTTCCAATGACATCATGGAAAGAGTGCAGATGCCAAAAAGACAATAGAGAAGATACAGTGAGAGGGCAGGTAATAGTAACAACAACAATGGAAAAACAGTTTTTTAAAAACAAAACAAAACCCTGTGTCATGACTCCTACTTCAAGCGTTCATCTTGGCACTTGGCAACTTGCTTGATGAGGGTGTGTATTGTGAAAGCGCCAGTTAGTATAATAATTGAAAGCAAGTTGTTAGGAGGCATTTGGGACCAGGATGGATCATGATGGCAGAAGAAGTTGTGGCTCTACAGTTTGGTCTGCAGAGGATCTGAGTATGTACCCATGTGCTGGAGAAATCCCCTGGGGCCAGTAGCAAACCAGGCCACTGTTAACAGGTGCCCATAATTAATCTTACACCTTGAGTCAGAGTCCTTCGAAGCAATACCACATCTTTTGCTCAAACAATGCTTCACAGTTTCTCATCCCGTCTCACTAAAGATGCCAACAGATTCATCAGGAAATGACACAATAGCGGTGGAGTAGAAGACTGAAGACTTGGATGATAAATCTTGAAGAATGCCCTCGGCAAGAGGCAGGGTTTGGGATAGGTAGCAGAGCGGATGTGTTGGCAGCAAGGCTTAGTCTTGGTGTGCAACTCTTTGGAGCGAGTTGTCTACTAACTTGAAGCTCTACTTGAGGTCTCCAACTCTGTGCTTCTTGTTGTCTTACTGATTTCTGACTGCCCTTTGCTGCCAGGAGGACACCAAGTAGACCATCCTTGCCCATTGCATCCCAGCCACCCTTCTTTAGGTGGGCTCTGCTTAGTCCTCCCACTGTGCTGGTTTTGTCCTGATAGGACTAGACAAATCCACTGAATTGTGCTGAAAATCTGTCTTCTAAGATCGTGAAGGCCCATGCTAAGGTAGCGTTTGGTCTGATCTGACACTGTCACAAACCACATGCAGAAAGGATTAAATAAAGTAGAGCAAAGTTTTTCAGATGAAAAAATAAATTTGAGAACAGGGGGAAAGGGAATGTGAAGTGGGAAAGTGTAAGGATAAGCAGCATGGTTACATGAAAGGGAAAGGTGGGCATTTATCTAATTGGAATGTGAAGCCCTTCAGAAGTTCAAGAGGCACAGCAATGAGCTTTGTGTGCTTTGATTGTAATCAAACACGTTTCTGATAAATTGTGTAATTATTGGCTCTTACTGATGCACTAAAATCAACATCAAACATTAGCTGCAGCACAAGAGGAAAAAACCTTGACAGACATAGCCAATATACTCAGACCAAGGTTTGTATCCAATGTTAGTCCTATTCAGAGGAGACCTATTGAAATTAATAAACATAGATAACATAGGCCCATTCTTTTCAGTGGGTCAGCACTGAGTATAACTTAGTAGTACACAATAGAGAGGAGTCTATTCAGCCTACATGCTGCATTTTTTATTCTCTGATCTAATTATGCCTTTATTACTTATTACTTATTTTTGCTCCTTGTACGAAAAACAGAGAATCAGGTTGTTTATCTAGTAACTTCAGCTCTTTTTTTTCATTTCAGGAAAGGGGGCTTTGGAAAGCATGTTTTGGATATGGGAGTCATTGAAGTCTCAATACCAGAGCACTACCAGGCAGGACTTTAATATGGCAAGGTCACACCCAGTGCTACTCTTACATATAGGCTGCAATATGTGAGACAAACCTGGGGCTGTCCACTAATGAGGGATTGGAGAAGAAGAAGAAGAAGAAGAAGAAGAAGAAGAAGAAGAAGAAGAAGAAGAAGAAGAAGAAGAAGAAGAGTTTGGATTTGATATCCTGCTTTATCACTACCCTAAGGAGTCTCAAAGCGGCTAACATTCTCCTTTCCCTTCCTCCCCCACAACAAACACTCTTTGAGGTGAGTGAGGCTGAGAGACTTCAGAGAAGTGTGACTGGCCCAAGGTCACCCAGCAGCTGCATGTGGAGGAGCGGAGACGCGAACCCGGTTCCCCAGATTACAAGACTACCGCTCTTTACCACTACACCACACTGGCTTCCCATGACTGAGAAGTTATGGGTGGAAGAAATGTTCCACACTTCTTTCTGCTCCTAATTCTGACCCACAACCCTTTCCGCTGCTACTTTCCTCACTCCCTTCAGTCCAGAAATAAGTCCAAGCTGGCAATGACCAGAGGAATTGGGGAGGGGAGAGAATAAGTGAGCTAGGACAGGCTTACACACTCATTCCTTTCCCCTGATTCTCCCTGAATATATGCCTGTCCTTGTGTCACTGGTAAATTAAAGTTTGCCCGCTTGCCATAGAATCCCATGCTAATTAAACTGTTTTGCAGACTAACAGAATGATCTTTCAAGCACTCTTCCAGAGACATCCTTTGCAAATGGATGAAATGCTAGAACTGCTGGGTAGCATGACACCCATATAGCAAACTATGCATTAAAGATGTAGAATCACACTGTAAATGAAAAATAAGAAATGTGTTAGGTTTCATTAGCCTCACACATATCAGGAAGTCAAAGCTGACGCTGTTTAAAGAGGGGGTTTTAAAAGTCAAATGCACAGTGATCATCTGCATTCAGAAGAGCACATCAGCACTCATAGGCTGTCATCTATTCATGTATTCAATTTTCAGATAAAGCCAATTAGAATTTGTTGTTATTTTGCAAGCTTGATGCAGCGTTCCATGGCAGATGAAGTAACTATAGGTTTAAGTGGCAGCAGATTTTTGAGCAGGAGTGTGTGGCTCACGTCCTATGTAGTCCTGTATGTGTAACCTCTTGCAATGTCTTTTTAGTTCCTGGGCTATATCCCAAGAGAATAGAGAAGAAAAGATATAAAAAGATAGGGAAATAGAACAGAGAGGAACTGTAAGAAGACTGCTGTGTTCTATTGATCTCTCTGCAGCATCTCAGCTACTAGCTAGGGATGACTGCAGACTTCTACACATCCAGTCCTGAACCCTGCAGTGATGATGAGTTAGACTAGCTGTCCCCAACCTGGTGCCCTCCAGAATCTTAGGACTACAGCTCTCGCCAGACCCAGCCATCACGGCTGTACTGGCTGAGCATACTGGAAGCTTTGTGTTCAGCAATGTGAATAGTCAGAAAGATCTCACATTAAAATATGAAAAGGGTTAAAAATCAAGGTCTATTCATAGACGTTCTAAGAAACATGAGAATGGATCTTTGTTCTTTTTACAGTTGCTTTCTGAATAATTAGCTATAGCCTATGTACAGCATGCAAAAAATGTTGATTTCCCTGGAAAGATGCCAAAATACACATTTGCTTTTGTCCCATTTGTGCTGATGTAAAATTTGGAACTGATAATTTTCTTCTTCAAAAATGCCAATTTCCCGCTCTTTCCTATTAACAAATGTTAGAGTGACAATCTGGTCTTTCTGAAAGATATAGCCAAGACCTTCCCATCCCCTTCCCCAGCCACCATTATCTTTTAGCCCTGTCGTTGTTCATAGTCTTCAAGTATTCTCCTTTTGTTGCTTTCTCATGCAATGTTACTTTTCCTCTTAAGCTTCTTTATCATTCTTAATGCTTAACAGAAAAGGAGACTTAGGAAATTGATTTGTATTGTGAAAACCATCTTGGCAGACATGCCCTGGACTGTAAGCCAAGTCCACTGCAAAGTGAGTAGCAATCATGTGAATGAATCCCAAAACTAATACAAGGAAGTATGAGTGGTCTCCTCTTATCATCATGGCTCCAGAGTGATCTCTGTCTCCCAGACAAAGAAGAAGAAGAAGAAGAAGAAGAAGAAGAAGAAGAAGAAGAAGAAGAAGAAGAAAGTGTTATCAGTGTTAAAAGTTTGGCAACAAATAAGCCCTCTGACAAACTCTGGGCTAAATTGTGGGAATCATGAGTGTGTTCACACTTGATCAGGAATGCTACTAATGTCAGCCTGGATATGTGATAAGCGATAATGTCACTCGCTGCACACCAGACCTTTGCAAGAGAATGCAGAAGAAACTCTCCAGCTTAGGGAGACCCAAAACTGGACAGGAGGGAAGGAACATGGCAGGGATTTGGTTTGGCTCATATTTCGATTTAAACCTAACCAGTGCCTTCCCTCCCCCGTAGAAAAAAGGTGGCAGTACTCACCATGAAGTTGTTACAGTAAGTGCCACACTTTTAACATATCCTCTGATGTACCCTCACCTCTAGATCACTTCCTGCTTTTTGTATCAACGGCAGAATGACATCCTTGTAGCAGCCATTATTCCACACATTTGGTAGGGCAAGATAAGGTCCTACCATCCTGATGAACATCAGCGAAGAAGTTGTCCATATAAGCATTGCCATTCAAATGGTGTGCATGAACTGTATCTTGTGATTGATTATGTGGGCTGGGGCTTACCCCCCCCCCATATTTTATTCAACTTGGCAACCCTGGTTTGGACCTTGTTTACTTTTTGCCCGAGGTTTCCACATGCTGCAACTGTCAGTAATGGAGAGTGAGAGACGTTGCCTAGAAAAGAAAGAAAAATGCTGATTAACACCTTTTATTAATCTAGCCTTAGTTAAGAACAAAAGAATGCAGAACTCACACATCAACTCCCCCTACCAGGACTGAACTTCACATAACAGCATGTCTTCAAACAGCACTTGTGCAGCAGACTAAACAGTTCCTCAGCGAGTGGGGCTTGGCCAGGAATGCAGCTTTTGGAGCCTTCTGCTTTGCTGATGGACAATTTACAGAAGAGCCCTGGCTCTCGCCTTTCAGTCTAATCTTAAACAACTTTAGGTATTCCTAGAACATCAGTCGGCCTAATGATTGACAGGTGAAAGCATGCTTCTTTTTTTGCAAATAAATAGCAGAAACCAAAACAGCTCACCAGCAAGAAAAACCAAGAATGTGAAAGTTTCTTTCTTGGGAAAGGTTTCGGGAAAAGACTGGCTGGCATCTCTCAAAGATGCTCTAGATCAATGCCAAAGAACATTTTTGAACCAGAGGAACTCATTCCCTTCTGGACTGTTTTACAGGGGCCATGTACCTGACACGCAGCGCAAATTAATAACGCAGATTTGTTAAGTGAAAGAATAAGAGTTTTACTGAGTTAAATTTCTTCATAAACAACATGGTTCCAAACAGTTGACTGAGATTACATGCTGACTCTGCTCACAACTCAGGCAAACTGACTCTGACTGAAATTTTACAGAGAACACAGAGAGAAAATGGCGGCTACTTATAAGGAGAATGAGTCACATGTCAGAGTGACTCCACAGTTAGCAGTTAGGCCTGAATAACTTTAGTAGGCCCAAATGATTGTGAAGTCCCAGCACTTCCCAGCCTGCTTTGCTGCTTCTGCTCTCATGTGTCTTTGTCACATGACAGGACCAGAGGCAAATGGGGTGGGAGCAACACCATTTTTTTTTAGTCCCGTGGAGTACCGTATTTTTCACTCCATAAGATGCACCTGACCATAAGATGCACCTAGTTTTTAGAGGAGGAAAAACACGGAGGGGGGGGGGAATATTCTGAATCAAATGTTGTACTAAACTATTTAAAACAGCAAAGCGGGCGGCTCCTGTCCGCTGTACTGCTTTAAAGCAAGCCTCAGAGGAAGGAAGGAAGGAAGGAAGGAAGGAAGGAAGGAAGGAAGGAAGGAAGGGGAGCCATGGCTCCCATCCGTCCCTCCTCCGCAGCTCGCTTTAAAGCAGCAAATTTAAAGCAGCAAAGCAGGCGGCCCCTGTCTGCTTTGCTGCTTTAAAGCGAGCCATGGCTCCCCTTCCTTCCCTTCTCTGTGGCTCGCTTTAAAGCAGTAAAGCGGACAGGAGCCACTTACACGTCCCTCCTCCGCGCAGCATTCACTTCATAAGATGCACAGACATTTCCCCTTACTTATTAGGAGGAAAAAAGTGTGTCTTATGGAGCAAAACAATACGGTACTTTCTTCACACACTCACACACCCCTCTCTGGCCCCCTCCCAGCCAAGCTGCACTATCCTGGTTGAAGGATACATTCCACCTAGGCAAAAAAATGGTGAGAAGCAGAGTCCACGAGGACTGTGGTCTGGGGAGAAGTTGTGGGGGTGGGGTTTGCCAGGAAGAGGCCTGGAGGTCCACAATTGGCGCCCAAGCCTGAGGTTCCTCACTGCTGGTGTCTACAATCTGTTTGAAACAGGACCACAGCTTCAAAACTGTCTCTGAAACAATAGGGAGATGGCAAGAAAAATTGTGCTAGCAAATGGTCATGCAGAAGCTATCGACCTACCACATTCCTGAAGGTTTTTGCTCTTGCCCCTCCTACTTCTCTCTGCATGTCACAGCCTGGGGTTCTGTACATCCAAAGCGGGAAGATAAAAAAAAAATTAATTAAGAAGGTCAAAAGTGAATAATAAGGAGTCACAGCATTCCATCTCTTCACATGATAATAGAGGGGGAAGCCCTGCCAAGGGCTCTCAGGCATGCAGCTTCTCAAGGACAAAGCAGTGCAAACAGGTGCTGAAGGAGACGGAGAACTGCCCTGGGAGGCATCTGTATAATTCTAGCTTTACCGCGGTGGGTCAGGCTGCCGTGAAAGCCACGGAAGCAGCAGGGCCAATTAAAAAGAAAAGAAAGGGCACTGAAGCACCCTAATTAGTACAGAGGGGGACACACACACACGTAAAAACAAGCATTTCATTACAACCCTTTTCAGGTGTTCTAGCCCACATTGCACAAAGGAAGATCTGGAGCGGAGACCCCCACCCAGGACGGGTGAATCTGCCCATTTTCGTTCCTCTCCATTTCTCATTTTCCCAGTCATAAGTTTCATTCTTCACATTCCTACATCAGGTTATTTTTTAAAGGTCCTCATGAAAATTCACCAGAACTTTAGTGAGGATTTCTCTTAATATACATGTTTGTATGCTATCTTGCCTACCAGGCACAGCTTTGCACAGCAATACCCCCTAATATAATGCATTATTTGTCCATTATTCTCTCCAAGATATGCACTTTACCCTACTATATGCCTTTTGTGTGCCATTACTGGGCTGGAGAACTGTATTGCAAAATTCAGAGAAGTGCGAATTTTGAAGGAGGAGGCTTTTGCAGAAGGCTGCATTTTGGTTCAGGTATTGTTATGGAAAGTGCAAATTAGGTAAGTTCTCCTTTAAATGCAGACACAATTCCATTCCATTTGCATTTAAAGGCAGATCTACCTACCGTACTTTTCTCTCTATAACACGCAGATTTTTTTCTCCTAAAAAGTAAGGGAAAATGTCTGTGCGTGTTATTGAGCGAATGTGTGGTCCCTGGAGCCGACTGGCCCGAGCGCAGAGGCAAAAATAAGGCAAAAATCCAATCGCACGAGAAAGGAAGCTGTTGCTTTCCTGCATTCTGCCTCAGGGTCTTACTGCCCACCCACTTCTGTTTCGGTTGCTGTTTGCTCAAACGGAACAAAGAGCAGGCAAATCCCCTCCCCTCCAGGCAACCCCTCCCCTCCAGGCAAATCCCCTCCCCTCCAGGCAAGCAGAGGGGAAAGGAAAGGATCGCGTCCTTCCTTCTAATTCCACTCTGTGCTCCAGTGCTGCTGCATTCAGGGAAGCATTTTAGGGACTCGCAGGCAGCCGGAAAACATGCAGGTGGGAAAGAGAGAGAGAGAGAGAGAGAGAGAGAGGGGTGGCTGGGTGGGGGGAAACTTTTGCCTTCCTTTCCTCCCTCCCGTTAAATCCCTCTCCTGCATTCTTAGCCAGCTGCTTCTCTGCACACCCCTCTTGTGCTCCTTGTCCCTTCTGTGTTTTTCCTTCCCTCCCCACTTAAAACGTGGTTACAAAGCACGGATCCACATGGATCCACAGGATCTTTGCATTGGGTCACCCCAAATTCACCATCAGATCACATAGCATGTCCATGGCTACAGCCTGCACCAAAAAAATCACGCACCCACTGTTGCCTGGGGCCACAATGGTGCAAAAACGTGGTTACAAAGCATGGATCCACATGGATCCTCAGGATCTTTGCATTGGGTCACCCCAAATTCACCATCAGATCACATGTCTGTGGCCACAGCATGAGGCACAAAAATCATACATCCACTGTTTCTTCAGAATTCCCCCCCCCCTTGTTTTCCTCCTCTAAAAACGATGTGCGTGTTATGGTCAGGTGCGTGTTATAGAGCGAAAAATACGGTAATTTGCACCTTCTGAAACTTTATGCAAACCAAAGCATAGTCATCCTCCAACATTTGTACATCTCTAAATTTTGCAATGAAATTCTCCAGCCAAGCAATGTGTGTAAAAAATGCATATACTAGGTTAAAGTGTGCATATAAATGTTCATATTAGTAAATTAACATCCCAAACCACATTATATTAGGTAATTCCCACCCCCACAAAAATGTGTCTATAGTGGAAAAATACAGACAAAAATATGTGTATTAAAAGAAAAACACTGAAAACTGCCAATGAACTTTCAGAATAACTGTTTTTCAATAGAAAAATTTAAAAAATCTCAAACCAATGTGGAAATGTAGATATCCAAATTCAAGACTGGAAAAAATGAGAATCTGGGAAAAGCTTATATTGAAATATTCAGTCATTCCTACCTGGATGTAAACTTCATTGGACAAAGTGGGGCTTACCTCTGAGTAGACATGCATAGGGTGCACTGTTAGCAATTTCTTGGCAATTGCAGCTTGGAAACTGCTGTATGTGGTGTCATGGAAGCTGCCCTAGTTAATAATAATAATAATAATAATAATAATAATAATAATAATAATAAATTTTATTTGTATCCTGCAGTCCCCGGCCAAAGCTGGGCTAACATCATATAAATAAGATGATATGACGAATACAAGCCATCAATCAATTAAGATACATCCCACAATTAAGTCAAACAATTAAAATTAAAACTGGACAAGTGGCAATCCTCAGTTGAGAGATTTGCATTATAGTCTTAACCCCCACCCCCACCCCAATGATCATTGAAAGCAAGCTCTAATTTGCACAAAATAAAGGAATTCAAATCTAGGACTGTATTTTAGATCAATAAATCCAATATTCCCATGTGCATGTTCCTTGACAACAGTGACACGTAGCTGACACACATACAGTAGACTTTGGAAAACAAGTAGCAGGCCTCTTATTCTTCTGCTACACGTTCAGGATGACTGTGCCAAGGACATGTGATTCAGTCACCATTGAAGTTGATAAATATGTACATAGGTCAAGGCGACACTCCCGAGAGCTCTACCTAGGAGTGTCTTAACCTCAATTCCACATTTTGCCTGAGGCACAAAAAAGCAACACAACTTTATGGCCTTACAGTGCAAATATGGGATTATTGCTCACACTAAGCCATCATCATGGCAAAGTCCAAAGAGTAACTGAAATGGCTGGTATATCAGCTTATTAAAAAATAAAATAAATGAAAACATCATAAAAGCAGAGTGTTACAATTAGGTCACTCAGTCAGTTAAATAATTTTTATTTATGGATTTATTTATTATATTTCCCTACTGCTTATCTATTCTCCGGGCAGTTTCCATAAAAATAAAACACAAAATTCACAGTAGGTTTGTTCACACTTAACCCTAAGCACAGGTACAACAACCAATTGTGTATACAAGTACCCAGACTGTACACTCACCAAATGTAACGTGTAAACAGCCCTAAGAGAAAGGCCAAAATCCTAAAGAAAATGAATCAGGAAAACACTCAGGGGGGAAACCAATCAAAACCAGCGACTTTAATAAACTGCCTTTTAATGAAAGAAGTGGTTCATTTTGAAATTCTACAGTGAGGAGGACTAAACACACGCAGAGGTGTGCAGAAAGGCACCCATGGGAACCTTTGGGAGTCTCAATGAATGGGGTTCCAGGTTATGTGCGAGGAGGCCTTTAGGTGCCAAGTTTTTCTCTCTACGCATATTCATACTGAATGCACAAATGAGTTAAGCCAGTGTATGTGATAATGGGTGGGTGGCCTTTCAACACAGCCCAGCTCCCCAGTAGAACGAACATGTGAGCATTATTACTAAATGGGGCTTAGGGTAATTTGCAATTTTGTAAAGAGAAAGGACCCCTCAGTGTTAGAAGAAAGAGGCGTTATTCAGATTCTATTTTTTATTTCATATTACAGTGGTACCTCGGGTCACAGACGCTTCAGGTTACAGACACTGCAGGTTACAGACTCCGCTAACCCAGAAATAGTACCTCGAGTTAAGAATTTTGCTTCAGAATGAGAACAGAAATCGGGCTCTGGCGGCGTGGCGGCAGCAGGAGGCCCCATTAGCTAAAGTGGTACCTCAGGTTAAGAACAGTTTCAGGTTAAGAACGGACCTCCGGAACGAATTAAATACTTAACCCGAGGTACCACTGTATGTTGTTGTTTAGTTGTTTAGTCATGTCCGACTCTTCGTGACCCCAGGCACTCCTGTCTTCCACTGCCTCTCACAGTTTGGTCAAACTCATGTTCGTAGCTTCGAGAACACTGACCCACCATCTCGTCCTCCGTCGTCCCCTTCTCCTTGTGCCCTCCATCTTTCCCAACATCAGGGGCTTTTCCAGGGAGTCTTCTCTTCTCATGAGGTGGCCAAAGTACTGGAGCCTCAGCTTCACGATCTGTCCTTCCAGTGAGCACTCAGGGCTGATTTCCTTCAGAATGGATAGGTTGTAACAAAATATTATTATTTTAAACGAAAAAAACCCCTGAGAACCCTTTTTCACAGCACCCCAGATTCACCCTTGCTAATTAACCAGTTATGAATGAATAGGTTTAATGGGCAGACGGAGGCATGTCACTCTAGCGATAATGCTCTGAGACTTCAGCATTCCTCCCATTCAGAAACACCACATCAAGCTTCCTCCTACATCCTCTCAGCCAAGGATTGTATTTCAATCGATTACGCTGCTGCCTGCCACACCTTCCACATTTTCCAGCTCCAGAGAAAGAGGCGTAGCGATCAGCGGCTGCTCATTTCAGAAAGTTCAATGCCTCCTGCCGTAAAATCAGTTTCCTCTTTCATAGACCTTGGACAACTGGCATGACTCAAGATGTAACAAATGTTTGCAGAAGAAAAGCAAACTGTAATTTTCTTTCAGCAGTAGCCAGAGTGCTGACAACAGATGCCTGATTAAGTAGACGAGGGGGTCAAGGAGGCATTTAGGATTCCAGTTCTCGTTTCAAAGAGGGAGTCAATTTTAGACATCTGCTCTTTCAGCACCAGAAGGCAAATGTATCAGTGAATTAGGATCTATGTGGTAGACTGAGAAACTGGAGTTCTTGGTTATCACTCCCTCACAGTGGAAAATGTCGAAACCATCAGTGGCAATAAAAGAAGCAACTAATACCCATGATTTTTTAAATAAAAAATTGTTTTTCAACTTAAGATTTTTCAGAGAAAAAGAGCTATAATTTCCATATTTGTTTGCTCTTATACTTCAAAGTTTCTCCAATTTCATATGGCTTCTCACATTTCTTTTCAGAGTAAATGAGCTGTCTGGGGTAAAAAAACCAAAAAACCCAAAAACCATACCTTTTACATTCATCTATAAGTGAAAAGCGTAATGCCAGCTAAAGTATTTTGAAGTCCCACTGATTTAAATGTTAATTCTCTCCAGGTGCAATAAGTGGGGATTGCATTTCACTTTGGCTGGACTATAGTGGGCCCACAACTTACGCAAGAGTTCGATTCACAGGAACCACATGTAAAGGAAAAAACCTTAAACAACCTGAGGAAATATCTCTGCTTTTAACTTTCCCACCAGTAGCGGAAGAAGATCTGCCTTGCTCTCAGACTGAAAGTCTGCTTGATCTCAGACCACCTTCCACTTGTTCAGCTCCCCTCCCCTCCATAGGAGCCAACTCCTAGAGGCTGAGATTCCCCCCCCCAAAAAATATCTGAGAGGGCTGGGCCATTCAAATGGTATGTGCGCACTGCATCTTGTGACTAAGCATGTGGAAGCTCACTTGCCCCCCCCCAATATGTTATTCAAGTCAGCACCCCTGCTCCCCTTGCTCTCAGGCTACCTCTGCTTGTTCTCTGTGCTCTCACTAGACCCTATCACTCTCTGACATTCTGACGATGCCCAAACACTCTCCCAGGGTGAGTGCAATGGCTGATGGGAATGCCAAATGTTGTTTCTGCTCTCCCACCACCTTCTGACATTTTCCTACTGCATATTTTGATTTCCCCCACATTCCTTGCCCTGTTCCTGCAGCTGGTCAATGGCAAGGGAACTGGTGGCATCTCACCGGTACTCAGGTACTGCAAATAGATTCAGTAGAGGGAAGAAGAAGAAGAAGAGTTTGGATTTGATATCCCGCTTTATCACTACCCGAAGGAGTCTCAAAGCGGCTAACATTCTTCTTTCCCTTCCTCCCCCACAACTAACACTCTGTGGGGTGAGTGGGGCTGAGAGACTTCAGAGAAGTGTGACTAGCCCAAGGTCACCCAGCAGCTGCATGTGGAGGAGTGGGGAGTCGAACCCGGTTCACCAGATTACGAGTCTACCGCTCTTAACCACTACAGCAAGGACTGCCTCTCCAAGGAAGAACCATAGTTCAGTGGTAGAGCATCTGCTTTGAGTGCACAAGGTCCCAGGTTCGATCCCTGGCATCTCCAGGTAGTGATGGACAAAGATTCGTGCCTTTGAGCCTGGAGAGCCACTGCCAGGCACTGTAGACAATATTCAGCAAGATGGACCAATGCTGTGACTCAGTGGGAGAAGTGAGCCAATAGTCAATCAATCACATGGAGTTATTAGCAAAAATTGGATCTGCACAGGAGTGTCAGACCTCATGAGCCCAGTGACTCATCTCCAGTAGGGCTTGCCCCATGAAACAGTTGCTGAAACTGAAGGTCCCCACCTCTCTCTAGGGTTTACCCCAAGCAAGCAGAGACTGCGTCTGCATGCAGCCAACCTCTCCTCTGCCCTTTTCTTGTCTTTTCTGGTTCTTGGAGACAAGAGGGTAGGGGAGCTTGTTGCAGCAGGAGGGGCAGATACCCATGACTCCTCACCAGCTTGACTCATCTCTGCCTCTTGGCGTCTTTCTTCCTATCCTCATGCTTCTGCTCAGCCTCTGGACTTCTCTCTGCCATTGACTCTCCCAGCTCACTAAGCCCTGTTACTTCTTCAGCTTCCAACACCTCCTCTCCCCATTCCCACCCTCTCACCATTCATCATTGTCCCACCACCTGGGCTCTGAGTTGTCTTCTCTTGGTGGTTCCTCCCACCATTCCTCTGCGTCCAACCAGCCTCTGACACTCAGTTTAAGGCATGTGATGGGCAGTCACAGTGGAGGCAAGGGGGTGTCAAAGCAACATTAAGCAAAATGACAACAACAATGGTGGTTTCTTTGAATATCAGTGAGCTGGATCCTGGCTTGCTCAACAAACCATCGACAAACAACAGCAATTGTCTAGCATTGTGTCCAGACACAGCCAACCCCACCCTCTTCTGAATCTCACTAATCTTGTTCAAACAAAAACTCACTTCCCTTGAAATTCCTGCGGACATTTATCCCGGGAAGGACCCTCCAAGTGTAGTCTGAATTTTACTTTAGGAAAACTTCAGAGGTAGCTCTATTTTCTTGGTCAGAATTTTAAAGTATACTTGAAAATGAGGTGCAAAGAAATTCAGCCATCCGTAGCCAGGAGATGAAAGGTCTACTCCATTAGAAGCTAGGCCAAAAATGTTTGAATAAAGCTTCACTGAGGCAAAACTACTGAAGAGGATTTGGTAACTGTGCAAAGCAAATGAGATATGTATTTTAACTATATCATCAGAAAAGTCTTTTTGCACCCTCCTCCACCTGCCAAGATCAAAGCATATAATACAGACAACTGCCTTTTGCAACTGTTAGGACAAATGCAACAATGTCGGGCATTCAGTTCGATACCAAAGCATTCCTGCCAAGAGACACAAAAGTGAGGAATGTAAGCACGTTCATCACAGCTGTAAATTTATTGTAAAACCATTTCTTTATCCCAGCATTCTTGGCATTTTTATTCATCTTGCCTGCAACCTAATGCTGACTCAGATGCAGCAAAATCGTTCTATGGCTCACCATCAACACCAATGAGGAACAAGGACTCCATTCTCATTGTCACTGTAAACCCTTCATTTTTGTCAGTTGTTACAAAGCAATGAATACGGCTAGCAGACCAAAATATGGTCTTTAATGTCTTGGCGTTAATGCCTTGGGTCTTAATCATTAATGCCTGTGTTGGCCATGCCTCAACCAACTTCTTTTATTCTCTCTCCAGAGTTCAATAACAATTCTATTCCCTGCAGAGTTCATTTGCTTAAATATATGGCTTGGGAATTCCAGAGGAGCATTGGGGAAATGTAGTTAAAATATGCTTTGTGGTTTATTACTAGGAGAAATTCAGCACATGAAAACAAACAAAGAAGCCCAACTTTATATGGCAGAGAGCTACGCCTTGCAGTCTCACCTATGTCTTTATATTGTAGTCTAGTACTACACCAGTGTGGTATAGTAGTTAGAGCAGCCTTTCTCAACCTTGGGTCCCCAGATGTTGTTGTACTGCATCTCCCACCATCCCTAGCTAGCAGGACCAGTGGGTCAAGGATGACCAGAGTTGTAGTCCAGCTTCTGGGGACCCCAAGGTTGAGAAAGCCTGTGTATTAGACTAGGACCAAAGAAATCAGCATCAAATCCCCACTTGGCCGTGAAGCTGGCTGGGTTTCCTTGAGTCGGTTACTGCCTCTCAGCTTCACTTACCTCATAGGGTTGTTGTGGGGATTCAATGAGGAGAGGGAGAATCATGTATGGCACCTTGAGATCCTTGGGGGGGGGAAGGTGGGATACAAATGAAAAGAAGCAAGCAAGCAGCCCTGGCTCATGGGTTGGATCAGGATGTGAGTGTTGAGCAGGGCGCTGCTCATTACGCCTCCCCCACCATGGCCTGCTCTGATTGGCCCCACCAATCAGCTTGGGCGTCTGCAGGGAATGTGGATGCTTTGGCTGCTACAAATGACCCCCTTTCCCTTTGTCTCCTTCTGCACAATCTTGCCTGTCCACTCAGGTGATCAAGGAAGGTTCTGTTTGAAGTCCCACCACTATTAGGCGAGTGATTGGTTGGTAGGTGTACCAGACACGACCTTCCCTACCAGACTATGGAATTCCTTGTCCTAGAAGATTCAGTTGCTTGTCTCCCTTCCTTATGGTTTTCAGGCAACAAAATAAAGATGATCTTAGCAGGAACATAGGAACAAAGGCAGCCTCCTTGCCCTGAATTGCTCAGGGTGACTGATAGCATCACTTCAGGATTTCAGATGGGATCCCTTCCTGCCCTCCTTCTGCATGTGACATGTGTGCTCTGCCACTGAGCCCTCAATCATGATTGCTGAATACTTACCTTCCTTTGCTGTTTTATTTGGTGCCTCTGTTTTGCACTCTGAAAATTGTGTTTGTTCTCAACTACCCTGGAAGGTTGGGCACTGCAGAACTGTGCTTTAAACAAACAAACAAAACTATGACAATGAGCAGTTATGAGGCATGCTGTGTCAGATAAAAATGATCCTTCCATTCTTATATTATTGGGGGTTGGGGTGCGGGTAGGGAGAGACCCATAATCTTTTAATAGAGCAGTTGGAGTTAAATCATTCCAGACTCCCTGAGTAGCTCATGAGGATGTTGCCTTTTGTTTGTGTTTTTTAGGAAACTGCTGCCAGCTCAGAGGTCTGGAGCTTATTACAATGAGGCCTATGATAAATATATATAAATATATTACAAAAATGGGCCGACTGAAGTTTTAACCAAAAGCAAGAAGCACAAACTGCCTGGATGATCTCAGACATAACAAGCCATAACAAGCATCTCTCTGGGCAACCAATGCCTTGTAAAAAGGCAGTTACAAATATATCAGTTCAATTTGCACATAGTTGAGATCCAGTTGTGAGAAAGAACAATGGGAGCCAGCTTGATCCGATGCATGTTTATCCAGAAGTAAGTTCCACTGAGACCAGTGTGTCTGGGGGGTTTATATCTAATTAAATGTACATGAGATTATAACTTAAAATGTGCTTTCCTTGGGAAAGTGCCAGTTCTTCATCAAAAATGTTGTATTCCATTTTTTTAAAAAAAACACCAAACTTTTCATTTATGCATTAATACTTATTCTTAAATAAATTTTCAAATTAGTTTTGGTTACAGTCACTTGGCATTTTTATTTTTGTCTCAATAAAGATAAAAAAGGGGGAAATAAGGTTAAAGAATTACGAAGCTATTGCTTATGATAGCCTAGTTAAAACATTTCAGAAATTAGCATAACATATTCTTTGAATAATTTCTAAAGAAATAAAAGTTATATAATATATAGAAAATAAATAGTTATATTCACATTTTTAAAAAATCAGTGGAAGCTGTTGTACTAGGGCTACGCACACTCATTTCTGGGGCTGCCATATTTCAAAAAGTGAAAATCCAGACAGAAAAGTTAGAGCTTTTTTGACTTATGGCAACCCTAGGCCCAACCCCAAATTGTATACTTCCATTTGAACTCGGAGAAGGTCTAGAGATGTTTCTGCCAGTGTCCTGTTCTCTGTTTTTCTGCATCCGCGCAGGAAAAAAAATCCACATGAAAATTGAATGTTAGGAGGACTGCTGGTTATTCAGCACCTGTTGTGCAGCTTCCATTCTCTTCAGTTGTTCTCAGGGCAATCCAGCCACAGTTCAACACTAGGCAGGGCTGCCAGTCTAGCAGGCCTGCCTTCCTCTGTTCTGAGCATGCACAGAGCTCTTTCCTTGAAGGCCATATCTCCTCACAAATCTTAGCATGTTCTGGTAACCAGAAAGGAATCAGGGAGTGTTTTTCCTACTTTGAGAAGCGTCTTTGTTGTTTTTGATGACACAGTGACTGAGAGAGAATTAATAGACACAGTGTGAATCTCTTTCTTTAATAAATATCTATTTTTCACTTAGTCATTTTGCTTTTTATGTGAATTGGATTGGGAGAAGAAATGGGAGATGACTTGTATATGTGTTGCAACAAACTCTGTAATAATCTGCAGCGGACTGATGTGAGCCTCGTGCAATTCCAGAGTATTTCCTGGTGTATTTCCAGAGGTGAGCCCTGAGTGCTCACTGGAAGGACAGATCGTGAAGCTGAGGCTCCAAGACTTTGGCCACCTCATGAGAAGAGAAGACTCCCTGGAAAAGACCCTGATGTTGGGAAAGATTGAGGGCACAAGGAGAAGAGGATGGCAGAGAACAAGATGGTTGGACAGTGTTCTCGAAGCTACCAGCATGAGTTTGACCAAACTGCGGGAGGCAGTGGAAGACAGAAGGGCCTGGCATGCTCTGGTCCATGGGGTCACAAAGAGTTGGACACGACTAAACTACTAAACAACAAACAAATTTCCAGAGGTGTGTGGCTCTGTTTGCAACAAGTCCCTCCCCTAGCTTATGTTACGAATATGCTGAATACAGAACAGCAGAAATGCTGCCGCCATTGTCTCTGGCTTACTTTTTGTGAGTTTGTCAATGAATTCCTAAAATGAAAAGTTGGTGCTCTCTGCCTGTCTGGATATCACAGACCCTCCAAGTGTCCCTATTTTCCAGGGATGTCCCTGATTTAGAGAATCCGCCCTGGTTTCT